CGCACCCCTAACCCTTTAGAAAAAAACCCAGGGGTCTTGTAACTTGACAGCTTTAAGACTTGCATGCTTCAAATGCCAGAGTTTCTGAGCCAATATTTTGGTTGCTAAGCAAGAGCATTGTTAAGTGAGTTTCACCATATTTCCCAAGATGGCCACGCCCACCCAGTCACATGACTGCCAAGCCACTCCCGCCCGGTCACATGGCCGGCAAGCCACTCTCACAAAGCAGGCCACACCTACAGAAGAGGTTCTAAAAATTTTGAAACCCACCACTGTCTTCGACGTACAGTAGTTTGTTTAGTGATTGTTCAAAGTTCAATAGTACTGAAAAAATGACTTAGGACCTTTGCAGCATCCCCGTGACCACATGATCAAAATTCAGATGCTTGGTAGCTGACTCATATTTATGACAGTTGCAGTGTCCTGGGGTCATGTAATCACCTTTTGAGACCTTCTGACAAGCAAAGTCAATGGGGGAGCCAGATTCACTTAACAACTACAATGATTCACTTAACGACTATGGCAAGAAACGTTATAAAATGGGGTAAAAGTACCTTAAATGTCTCATTTAGCAACATAAATTTTGGGCTCAATTGTGGTTGTAACTCAAGGACTACGTGTACTATCCCCAGTAGGAGAGATGCGATTATTTCCAGAGTTATCCTCAACAAGTAGTTTGGGCAAGATTTGGCCTTCAACATGGACATCTAGTTGAAAAATATGAGAATTGGAAGGCTGGGGAATTTGAATAGAATTTGAAGCCCAATTTATATTTGGACAGCAGCAGATAAGAAAAGGCCAAATATTCATGTTTCTGGCGCCAGACTTCACATCTGAAGCATTAACGCAAATTATATTATTACAGTTGGCAAACCTCTTAAGCATCATCTACTTATAATTCTCAAACACGCATGAATTTCTAGCTAGAAACTCTTCTCTCACCTTAACTTTATATTTAAGTCACGGAAGCACTTAATTTTGTAATCCTTTGAACAGAATATATCTTTAAAACCCTGCTGTATTCTTAAGGACCCGTCCTCACTGATAAGTGCGGAGTAAAAAAAATCCTAAATGCAGAGTACATAGGAGGCTCCCTTCCACCTAACTTTAGGCTGCATTACTGACTCTGCATTGCTGCCTATTTGTAAAACGGAACACGGTGTCGCCAGAAGGCTTACTCGGGGGCACATTTTTCTGAATTACCTGCCATGCAGAGTAAATGAAAAGTGGGTTTGGAGGGGGTGGAATGCCTAAAATCCCACTTAGCAGAACAATATATACAAAACAACCGATGTATTTCTCCCCCTCCGCTTAACCTCCGATACCAATACTAAATCCTCCAAAATTGCCGCAATTAAAAGGCCGGGATGGCTTTCCCACTCCCCGCCCTGCTCCCACGTTTTTCCTCCGCCGCTCTGTATTGTCGACCCGGAACAACGATGCCCTATCTCACCATCTCAGCGCGGGCGGCCTCGTTGTCTAGCATGCCTACAACCCCCAAAATGCACCGCTTCCTTCTTACGTAACTCCCCCCCCCGTCGCGCGTCACGTAGCATTGCCCTCCGCGTCGGGGGGGGGGGCGGGGTAGAAAACGTGACGATGTTGTGGTGCTTTGTAATAGTCAGCAGGAGGAGCCTTTTAAGGCATCATGCACGTGCCGCGCTTTCATTTGCTGTACATTTTCTTTTAGCCATTATCCGGAATTTGGTTCGGTATTATTAAAGATAGCGATGGGATTAGAGGAGACGCCCGAATAAGATTTATCCGAAACGTACTATGGATTGCAGAGGGCAATTCCCTTTTGAAAAGGATGCTCCGTTTCCCCACCTTCAAAATCACTCCCACCCCCCCAAGAATTTAATCACTTGAAATTAAATGCAGAAAGAAAGTGGCAGTGGGAAAAGATCCGAACAGTATCTACATTTGTTTCTACCAAAATTGCTATTGATACCTGTGGAGCATAATAAGATTGCTGCTTCTTTAAGAGTAAGAGATTTGAATCCATTGGGCTTTTATTTGGGTAATATAATGCATAAGAATCTGGTTATTTCAGGTTCTTGAGAAAGTGACATGTATTCATTCCTACAAGAGTCAATATTTCAAATTGAAATATTCCTCTTGCCTGAGGCGAGGAATTGCCTTTGGGCTGCAGGATTACCAAACTACAAATTAGAAAGCTAGCTTTTGGCATGTTGTGTAGGTCTGTAGTCTTTATTGTAATCCAGTGCATTGTACATTTCATAAGGTGGTTAAATTTACCATGAATAAATAATAGGGTATGTGTTGAAAGATCTGAAAGGCCAGTTTAGGGAACAGATCCTCATTGAGAAAATCTTACCTGTGATGGTTAAGAATCAACATTGACATTGATAGACACAGCAAATTTTTTTTAAAAAAAGTATGAATATATATAGTCATTAGTGGCATAGTGTAATTCAAGAATGGGCCACAAGAGTATCTGCAGACACTTCCTTTGATGTCTACAAACTTGTCTCTGCTGATTTAAAAAAATAAAATGTTGATGAAATGCCACAAAGCAAAAACATACCCCCTTTCCTTTATTTTCATGAATATTTCTGGAGTTGATAACAGCACATAACCACCATTTTTAATTTTCTACCCTCTTACTTAGAAAAAGATAAACTGTGGTAGAGAGTATCCTGAGAGAAAATACTTAGGAGCAAGGTACTCCTGGTACATTGTGTTTAGCTCTTTGATTGTATCTGCAATGTATTTGCCGCGTTCCATATACTATATGTCTACTACCCCTCAAAATTGCCTCTATTATTTGTTGCATTATAATGCAGCTTTATGCCCCAGGTTTTCTTTTGTTGGCCAGCCTGACTTTTAACATGTATTAATTTTGTTGACTGTGCTGCTGTGTATTTGAATTTGCTCTTGTTTATAATTGCTGCCATGTTTTTGTTTAGTTTAACCACCAAAAAGCTGTTAAGGTAGAAAATAACAACTTTGTATAGTTTCTCAAGTCTTTATTTGAGAGTAAATCCTATATTGATAAATAGGTGTATCTGATTAAAATATAAGTTTGGAAAAGTGAAGCTCTTAAGGATGAGGAACAGTTCCAAATAATGAAGAGTATATATACAACATGCATTCAGATAAACTCACACACCTTTACTGTTTCCTGTGTCTTCCCCCTCACCACCAGATTTCCCATTTAGATCTTATGTTTTCTTACTGGAGCCATTAAAATTGTACAATTGAGTAATCAAGATGTGAGAAGAATAATTTGGGGTTCCAACTTGAGCTGGGGCTCTGCAAAAATAAATAAAAACGAGATCCAGACAGCTGTGAGGAAAGAAAAAAGTTTGCTTTTAGGGACAGGCTGCAGAGAAATGAGGTACAGTAGCAGATTTTTATAGGGGGAGCTTGTCCAGGATTAAGTTTGTACATGTTGATTCTAGGATTCTCCTTTGGTATGTGGATCAGGTCTGGGTAACGGGAGTTTGAGGAAGTTTGCTAATTTTAGTTGATTGACTTAGTTTCAGCTTGATTGTCAAGCAATCAGCAGAAACACTGATTCTCAGAATCATTGTGGATTCTGTTAATATTTTAAGGGAAGATGGAAACAGTATGAAGAATAAAATATATTTGGATATGAAAGTTCTCACAAAAATAAGTTTTTTTTTGTTATTGTTAAATTAACAACTTATAACCTTTATCCTGCACAATTCAAAGCAGCATGCATAAGGATCCTGCCTCTTATTTTCTCTGCAAGAGCAACCCCATGAGGTAAATTGTGCTGAGAGAGAGGCAGTAGCCCAAATGCACCCAGTCAGTTTTCATGCCAAACGGAAACATGAAATTCAGAGGTCCTGGTCTCTAGGCCAGCAGCAGCTTTACCACTATAGCGTATCAATTTAATGTTAGTTCTAATGAACAATAATAATCTATTAAACCTGTATGTCTTCTGACTCTCAGTGACTCTGGGTACCTCATAACTATTAAAATGAAACAAATAAAAGATGAAAATAAAAGACAGCCCGCAGGATGAATTAAGGAGTCTCCCTCTCCCATGCCGAAGGCCTGGGTGAAGAATGTCGTCTTCGCAGGCTCTTCTAAACAACAATGAAGTGGGGCCATCCAAGATATCAAGGGAGCCAGAGGAAGGTGTTACAACAGAGAAAGTGCACTTCCAGAGCCCTGAGAGATGGTCTTGTTTAATTGAAAGAAAGTGTGTGACATGTCAACCCTGCAGGATCAAATTGGTCAGGCAGATGTTATGGGAGACAGGTGGTCCCTCAAGTAATCAAGCGAGATAAAACACTTTTGTTAACTTTGTATTATACCGTCCAATGTAACTTTCGACAGAAGTAGTGATTTATAATTTCCATCGCCATTAGAAAACCTGTCTGCAAATAACTCATTAAATAGTCTGTTCCCCCCCCCCCAATATCCAGCCTTCCTCGGCTTTTTTTATTTAAAAAAATTAAATTTTTGGTGCCTTCAAGTCAGTTTTTGACTTCTGGTGATTAGCCTAGACTAGTCCCTGCAGTTTTCTTGGCAAGATTTCAGAAGTGGTTTGCCATTGCTTTCTTCCTAGGACTATGAGAGATGCCTGGCCCAAGGTCACTCTGCTGGTTTGTGCCTAAGGTAGAACTAGAAGTCACATTCTCCTGGTTTCTAGCCTGATGTCTTAACAACTGCACCAAACTGGTTCTCTTTCCTTAGCCAAAATCTGATCAAATGCATTGAGCTGCAACTGAAGGAAGAAACAATCTGAGGAAAGTTGGCTGAAAACAGGAAGGGGAATTTATAGCCCTCCAAATAATTATAACAATGAACTGCTATTATACACTTCAACTAACAAAGCAGGGCTATGTAAAGTAAAAGTTGGATCAGTGGAAAAGAATTTATCCAAACTCAAATATCACTGAAAAATGATTTGCAGATCAGAGGAGACCCATTTCCAAAAATAAAATGTTCTGGAAGAGATTCAGGAAAAACTCTGAAAATGAAAGACCCCAAGTAGTAGAATAATAGAAAAATTTCAGATAACAATAATTGGAACTGTAAAGAAAACAACTGATACGAACTACACAGATGATAACTTAAAAGAAATCATAACAACAGAATCAGTACAGGCCTACATTGAAGCAACCTATGAACTGAACCCCCTTAAAGAAGAATTAAAAGAGAAGATTATGGCATATGCAAAATTACCAACAGGCAAAGACTACCAGCATTGAAAGTAATGCCCCCAAAGGCCTGACACCTGTAATGAAGGATGTGAATAATGTGCTTTCAATGATTAAAATAACATATATCCAACAGACCCATCAGCTTGCCTAGAGTACAGCAGAGGTGATTATAAAGAAATTATAAAGAAATGGGTATTGAAATTAGAAAACTAAAAGCAAAATCTTATTCATTCCCAAAGTGGAAGATCAGACATGAGGTCAAGATACATTAAGATCAGATGCAAGTAATTTAAAAAGCATGAAGGAGCAAAAATTAGGAATATTCGCTTAGCACCAGAAAAAAAGAAGAATTTTTAGAAACCATAAAGCAATAAATAATGGCATTAGCTGGGGAAATGTAGTGCTGTGAGGCACAAATAATCCAATTTAAACAATATCATCTATTTCACTCAAACCAGAAGTGATTCTACCAAATTATGAATAGCAATACCATGTTTCCCTGAAAATAAGACAGGGTCTTATTTTTTTTTGACCTCTGAAATAAGCGCTTGGCTTTATTTTCGGGGAGGTCTTATTATTTTTGAGATGCAGGAGACGGCGAGCGTGGTCACCTCATAGCTGCTACTGTGTTACAATATTTGGGGGGGGCTTATTTTCAGGGGAGGACTTTTTTAGTGCATGTGCTCCAAAGCCTGATTGGGCTTATTATCCGGGGAGGTCTTATTTTCAGGGAAACAGGGTAGAAATTCTGAAAAGGAAAAAAATCTAGTTTTTAAAAGATCTATTGGAAACTCAAAAAAGACAATATGCCGGATTGATAAAATACTTTGAAAATAATCATTATCACCTTTATTATTTCTCATTGCCATGATCCTCCTTTCAGTGATTTTGAAGAAAATAAATCTTGGCTATCAAATAGCAAAATGGGCTAATAAAATCACAAATTTCCTTTACAGGATTGATCTGAAGCTTTACGGGAAGTCCGAAATCAAAATCCAGACAAAAACTGTAAGAATCTTTACCACAGCACAAATGTACAGTAGATTCTGTATACCCTAGAGAAATATGCTACAATAACAATAAGGCAGGGTAAAATAGCAAACAGTAATGGGATTTAAATGCCATATGATGGAAATCATCAGGAGCCATCAAGATGAAGCCTATAAGTATCTGGACATTTTTACAGCTGGATAACATCAAGCATGGACAAGTTAAAA